CTAGCCGGCTCTGCTCACGACATGCCCACCATGTGGACACCCAGCCTGTCCTTGAACACCCTCACCACTGGGGCCTCAACTGCCTCCTGTGGAAGCCCATTCTGTATCCCGGGGGTCCGAACCGTCAGGAAGTGCTCCCCACTAAGTAAATGTTAGCGGTGAGAATGGACCAGTCCCCGCAAGCATTTCCTTCCAAGGCTGGACAGCAGGAAGAGCTTCCTCACTGTCAGAGCAATACGGGAGTGGGACCAGCTGCCTGGAGAGGTGGTGGGCTCTCCCACACTGGAGGCATTCAAGGAGAAACTGGGCAGCGACCTGAGTGGGATGGTGTAACGTGGTGTCCTGCAACAGCAGGGGGCTGGACTAGATGGCCTTCATGGCCCCTTCCAACTCTACTGTCCTGTGATTCAATGAGTCGACGATTCCCTCTTCCAGCTTTCTCCCCATCCCACACGTCAGTGCCCAAGACAGAGTGTCACGAACCCTGCACTCCTCAAAGCAGGGTGCAGAACTCTGGGCCCACGGCAATGAGAACAGCCCCCAGGGAGAATTGTTGTGACCTCAGCTCAGGGAAAAGATAAGCCGCCCCTCCACGCAACGACAACTGCAAGAGCAACAGCGCCCATGTTTCCCTGGAGGCGGCGTTGGGCTAATCCCCTTCTAAAGATCTTTTGCTCACACGTCAACAGTATTGGGAACTAATTTCAACAGGAGCATTCTTGGTGGTTCTGGTCACGTCCATCCGACAAATGCAGTGGAAACTCTCGACGATTTATAGGCAGTGGAAACCCTACACTTTCCTTGGACAGGACCGGCAAATTGTTTGGCTTCAATCTATCTACCCGCTCTGAAATTAACGCAGCTCACACGGATGAGAAAGTTATAACGTTGGGTCGACAGCAGCAAAGTGAAGCATTTAATCACTCCATTACTCAGCGAGCCTGGGCTCCCTTTTCACAGCAAAATCAATGAGGCTAATACAGCCATTAATGTCAGCGCTTTCAGGAGAAAGAAAAGCATTGGGACTTATTAAAAACAAGATCTGAAAACAGGGAGCTGCTCAGAACCCGTCAAACGGCACCGCATCTGCCTCTCTTCTGGTGGCCAGAGAAAGGTTTTCAAAAACTTTCTACAGCACCATCTACTCAACAACCCCCCCGCCCTTCTCAGATCCTTCTTGGTGGTAGCTCCCACACTCTGGGGGGCCAGCTTGGTCCCCTTTCTGGTGTCCTTCCACAGACAGGCAAAGGCATTTTAAACCGAGCAGGACTTTGGAGGAAGAGAATAATGTTAGCCGCCAAGCTTCAGGTGTCCAGATTTCTTGACATGGAACTATGGCAGTGATGTATGTATGGATGGGCAGATACACCCTTCCTCCTTTATTATAGATTTTTTAAATGTCAGGGTCCAACTACACATGGCCATTTGGTCCCAAGTCAAGTCTCAGCCTTTGAGAATGCCATGGCTGTTTCCCCAGAAACCGTCATTTCGAGTCGCCCTTCGGGAGGACGAAAAAGAGCCAAGAATTCGAGGCAGGGCCCTCACATACTATGCAATGCCTCTGAGCCTTCCTTTCCAAGCGGGTTCCCCAGGCAAACCTGGTTGATCACTCCCCCACGGGGCAATCGGAGCGCTCAGTCACAGTCTCCCACTAGACTGCCCTTCAAGCTCACCCACTCCTCCCCGCTTTGGCATCTCCAACCCGGCTTGGAGAGATTTCCCCCAAGGTGTAACTATCAGTCAGGCTGCAGTCGCTTTGGTCTGACATTTGCCAACGCTTGACGGATGTTCCCCAAAGGCTTTGCAAGCACATGCTTCAGGGAAGGGGAGGGGAAGGGAAGGGAAGGGAAGGGAAGGGAAGGGAAAAAGTGAAGCGAGGGTTCCAGAAATGTTTGGCCAATACAGAACAAGCAGAAGAATTCCTTTCTCAAAATATCCAAAGAAGGAACAGTGACAAAGGAAAGAGGTGTGTGAAATGCATTGGGAAAGATAAAATACGGTTTCAAGGCATGTGAGAATCTCTCTCTCTCTCTCTCTCTCTCTCTCTCTCTCTCTCACACACACACACACACACACACACACACACACACACACACACACACTTTTTATGTGACACCTCACAAATATGATTAGGTACATGCAGAATTGCTAGAATTTGAAACAGATGGAATTAAAATCACCAGACAAGTATCTGGAAATGCATCTTGATGCTGCTTATTCATTTGTGAAGGACACTTCACCTGTAGAAATTGCCAACTTAAGCTCCTTTCAGAATATTCAAAAGATATTTCCTGCATACCCTTAACAAAAGGACCAGGAGAGGGAACCCAGCACTTGTGTCAAGGGCTGCAATGGGAGAGACGCACAAAAGCAAAAAAACAAAAACCCCACAAACACACACACCCCTTGGGCAGAACCCAAAGGCTTCCTTGCATTTTACTGTCCTGTTCTGGAAGAGGATTTTCAGCCCTCGAAAACTGAGCTAACCCACCTTGCCTTCGCCTCGGAAAGTCAGCAAACTGAATTTGTCTTGGGGTTCTGTCCCTCGCTGCCATGAGGGGAGAAAGAGAGGGCTTTTTACGAAGATCAGGCAAGGCGATCTGCCCACCCTGCAGAAGTGTCTTTCCTGCCCAAGACCTGAAAGGCTGAGCCCTCACCATTCAAGGGGAAACCAACGCTGCACCGCGGCTTGCTAGCTGCACCTCCGCTGAGCTTGTTCCTCAGTCTTCGTTCAGGAAGGCAGCAGAAGCGGTCGCAAAGACCACATGTCAGAGAAGTGGTACATGGACAGAAATGCCTGTGTCAGAAATGCATGTGAGTGGCCACAGCGAGAAAGCGACCTCTCTCTTTCCGAGAGCAACCCTTCTGTGGACAGATCTCCAGCCGTGTTTGCAGCAAGATGCTGCTCAGGTGGGGAGGAATCTGGAAGGACAGAAGGCTTTCCACCCACTCCTCCACCAGGCTGTTTCAGGGCTGCTCTCCTGGTGAACTGTGATTTTTATCAGAGCGTTACAAGCAGCTGATCTGAGTCTGTAGAAGCGCCGGTGTTTCCGCCACTAACTGTTTGCACCTCCATTGTGGGAGAATACTTCCAGTCTGTACTGCTCTCTCCACCAAAAGAAACCTTCCCCATTTCACTGTTTTACTTTTTAAACTGCACCTCGTCCTCAGCGTGATGGTTTTCTTCTGTAAGGATCCTTCAAGCAGAAAGGAAGGGGGCTTGGATGGCAGAGGTCCAGGGGTTAAGCACCTGCTCTCTCATAATTGACCATTTTCAACTTGACTGTACATTGATATACTTAATTCTCGCAGTAGGACTTGTTACAGAGCTTGGCAATTTGGCAAAAAGGAATGACTGCTGTTATCATCGCATGCATAACCATCTTTTGAGAATTCGCAAGTCTCGTGCAAGGTCATAGAAACAATGCTGGATATTCCAAATGAATGTGCACTTTTAATTTGGGTTTATCTCCTAAGTTTGGCTAGTATTCTCTAGTACCATCCAGCACATTCAAGCCTTTAACCACAGCCCTATTGAACGAAGCTATCTCTATCATCCATATCCAGAACGGGTGCTAAAAGCACGAGAAATAGTAGAAATTCCATTTCCAGCCTACCAAAAATAAACCGAATCCTTTCGGATTTATTTTCATATCATCCCCCGGATGCTACTGTGGCCTTTTAAATCGAGGTTAGAATTGAGATCACCTTCTCTGAACAAAAATAGCCTGGTGAAACTATACAGCTAAGAGACTTGTAAAAATAAAGGGGATGGTTCCAGAATGCAAGTCAGATAATAGGATCCAGATAATCACTGGGGCGGGGGGTGATCCAGGACGTGGGGCCATGGCCTCGCCTTGTTGTATGGGGAGACACAGGGAATTTCAGAGCACCCGCTTGGAGGTCCTGGAATGCCAAAGGTCAAGGGGGATGGGGAGGGGAGGACAACTTTATTTATTATATTTATATCCTATATTTTTTTTCCTTTCAAGAAACTCAAGACAGCTTTTATATTCTCCTCCTACTACTCTCCATCTTATCCTCACAACAGCCCTGCGAGGTAGGTCAGGCTGAGAGTGCAGCTGGCCCAGGGTCACCCTGTTGGCTCCATAGCTGAGTGGGGGCGACTCAAACCCGGATCTCCTGCATCCCAGACCTGCGTTCTTAACTGCTGTACCACACCGGCTCTTCTCCTGCCTCACCAGGCTGTTCTGAGGATTGCATGGGTGCAGGAAGGGGGAATGGCACCATGTGCAAATCCCGAGGAGCTTGCAGGAAGAGTGGAGCAAAGACCAATAAATAAGTCACTACCTGGTATTTTGTGCAAAGGGAATTTTGTACAACATCAGCCCCGGCAATTGGCAGGCAGTATGAGCCTCCTTGATTGGCCAGACATAACCTTCTAACCTGACACTGGACCAGTACCATCAGGTGCAGCCCCACGACTGACTTCACAGACCCTGCATTCAAGTTCCAGTTGTCCGTACATGGGCCTGGACAATGAATTTTATTCACTTTAATTTTCAGGTGCCATTCGGCTGTAGCAAGCAAACCATGGTTTCCTGCTACATGAGCAACTGTGGCAAGCTCATGTGCTTCCTCTTCCCAGCTCCTCTTTCGCTCTCATGAGAAGGAGATTTGATGTTTCTACTTTTAAGCTGAACAGCATTCCATCCTGATTTCTGTCCGAACATGGAGAACTGTGGTTTGTTTAAATTGTCACCAGTACAAACAAGCCAGGTTTGTACCATGGTTAAATGATGGCTTGTTCTCATCAACCATAGTTTAAACAAGCACAGTTCTCTGTGTTTGGACATCACAGAGATCCATCATTGACTTAAAACTGGAAGTGGAAACATCTTATCTCTTTCTTGTGTGCGTGAAAGAGCAGGAGAAGTGATGGTTTTCCAGTGCATTGAAACAGGTCCAAATAAATGCATCTAAGTGACATTTTTGAACAATAAACAGAAACTTAGTTTCCAGAAAAATTTTGTCACTACCTGCAGAGTAAGGCTCTTGCTTCTCGATGTAAATGAATTCTTCCCTTTCATATTTGGCTCTGATCCATTGTTCTCGTAGCAGCCTGTGAAAAACGAAAGGGGGGACAAAAATGAAGAGTCAGGATTCAACCAGAATTATTAATTTTTCATAAGAACAGGCATCCTGTAGAAATAAAACAGGAAGCAGTCTGGAATCTTGGTTTTGGTTTCTGTTTCCTCTTTTAGTGACTTGGGCAAAAATAAAACAGCCATCCTCCCATTGCACAACTGATGGAAATTTTAAAAAAGAAGAAGAAACATGGGAAAAAACAAAGATTGGGACAGCGGCACATCAACAAACCTTTCTAGCCATCGTGTTGTTTGATTTTCAGCGGCAGCCTGAGAAAATCGATTTCTCAGACTGGACAGTTAGGAACCGCCGAAGAAGCTGCACTCCGAGAAACAGTTTGGAAGGAGTTAAAGTTAAGTTGCAGAAAGGAAACCTCGGCCACGTGGATCGCACGGCTCTGGTGCTTTCTTAATGCAGAACCACAGGGAACACGGCTTGCCGCTCTGGTCACGCACCTCAGAACAGGCGTTGTGGAGGGGCTGGTGATGGAAGAGTTAGAAGCGTTTCACACAGGAAACACACAAGCCAGAGGGAAAGGTACCAGGAGGAAATGAATAAGGGGCGCCTTTCTTCTTCTTTCACAAGGCCAGAGCTTAGGAACCAATTGGCAGGAGATGCCGGGCTGCTCAGGGAAGGACCCCTTCATACAGTACATCAGTAGAACCCAGAATGCACCGCTGCAAGGCGGGGTGAGGGCCACCAGCGTGGATGGCTCTGGAGGGGAGTGGGCAAGTTTGGAGAAGGTGGCCCATGGCTGCTGGCCAGATGTTGCCAGGAGGATGCCAAGGGACACCAGTTGCTAAGGAAGGTCAGTAGGGGGGAGCTCCAGATTGTGTGTCCCACTTCCTGAAGGGAACCGGCTGGCCAAAGAATGACATGGCACCGGCGCACATAGGCCCTCGGTCCACTACGGGTCTTCCGATGTTTCTAAGATGGTCTCGACCCAGCAATCCATTTTCACACGAGCAACAAAGCACTCGGCTCACGAAGCAGCCCAGGGTTTCCGGCTTCAGACGGGCAGGAGCAACCTTGGTGAGTCCCTGGGCCACTTGGCACAGAATTACTGGCCTCAGCTTTACGCCAAGCAAAGAGAAGGGTGGGATGAACCGTGCTTGGGGGTTTTGTGGAGGCAGATGAGATGGCTTGGGCTGGGGTAAGTGCCCTCTAGATAAGCTGGCCGACAGCTCCCACAAGCCCCAGCCAGCACGGCTGCAGGCCAAGGATCTGAGGAATCCATGCTAGCGCTCCGCACGACGCAAGGGTGTCCACCCAAGCCGTAATTTATTCTTCCTCCCTTGGCACAACAGAAGCACTCGGTAGTAAGAGCACGGATGATCGCGCCGCGGTCCTCTGAAGGGGGAGGAATTCCGGCAGCCTGTCCACCAGAAGACCAGGTAGCCACTGGAAACGGACCCGTCGGCTACCAAGGGTCTCCTCCGGAGCCATCTTCCGTGCTGTCTGTGCATCCTCCAGTGACTACAGGCCCCAGCATCCCCATGGGGCGGGCTCCCTTGCATCACGACGATGCCCTGGAGCGGCCGGGCGGCAGCGGGAGTCGCCTGGCTGGTCGGGCAGCTTCCTCCTGAACCGGCTCGCCAAGATCCAAGAGCGCAGGGGGAAGAGCCCTCCCCGCCAGCCGCCCCCCTCCGGGCCGGAGCCGCGGGAGCGCGCACCGGGGCCCCCTTCGGCTCGCCACAGGCTTGCGGGAAAGCCTTGGGGGACGGCGTCTCCAGCCCAGCCAAACCGTCCAGCAAACCGGAATCGAGCGCCCCGGTCGCCGGGGCTGCTTCGGGCCGCTGCGCACGCGAGTCACTGTGCTCTGCGGGGGCTGGGGAGACGGCTCGGGCCGCGGGGGGGCTTGGGCGGGACCCCCCTCCCTTGGCGAGCCGAGCTCCCCGGGGCCTCGGCTGCCCTCGCCCTGCCTCGGGGTTGCCGGAGGCATTTCTGCCCCTCCACGCGCCACCCGCCGAAAAGGGCTGGTTGAACGCGCAGGTGGGCGGTGGGGGAGAAGGAGAGCCCCAGGCCCTTTCCCCAGCCAATGCCCAACCGTGCCTGAGCTGGAAATTCACAGCATACCAGAGCAGGCTGGTAGAGAAGGAAGCAAGCCTTGCTTGGCATCGCGACGAGAGTGCTTGGCCAGGACTTGGGAGATCCGAGTTGCATCCCCAGTCCAGCTCCTTGGGTGACTTCGGGCCAGTCCTGGACTCTCAGCCTGTCCTACCTTGCAGGGCCCTTGTGAGGATCAAATGGAAGAGGAAAGCAGGACTGTATGTGCTAAGCAACAGTAATCGATCCCCATCTTTAGCTAGCCACAGCTGAACTGCTTGTTTAGACATGTGGCTTCTTTGAAGCAGTGCTCGGATCACCCAGGATGCACCCCCAGCGCACCCAACGATGGCCGGGTTTGATTTCAAGCAGGCCTTCCAGACCTAAGCCGCGGTGGAGGTGCAGAGATAAGCGGAACCAGCTGCAGATTCTGGAGAGCAAAGATTCATGAGCAGAATCGTCACTGCCCGTTTGCTCTCCCTTCGGCCCCAATCCAAACTAGAGGTGGCATGCGAGGCAAGCCTGTGACCCTTGCTCACTCGGTGGCCTCAGCAAGTGCCCAACTATGCCAGACCCGGACACCAGTCCTGTACAAATCCAGCTTTGTGGCATAGAAAACTTCGGCTTTCAGTGGGGGATTGTAATGAACAAGGAGAACCACGGAGAGGGAGCGAATGAGAGGAGGATCAAGGGTTGTGTTATCCTCGCTGCCTGAGCATCCACCTTGCAACGCTGGAGTCCTCGCCTTATCTGGGGCAGAAGAAGATTGGCCAGTGGACCTACCGAGGGCAAGAAAAGGGCCGCAACAGGGCAGAGGGAACAGAGGCGAGGGCTGACGCAGCACCAGTTCGACCGTCACCTCTGCTGCGCACGGAGTCAGCGGCCCTGGGAGGCTGGTGCTCTCTCTGCACCACAGGCCTCCATTCCACCTGCAGCTCAATGCACAGGTGCTGCCACGCTGTTTCCTGGCAGGTAGAAGGTCCCAGGTGTGATCCCACATTGTTAGGTTCAGCTAGGAAGGAACCTTCCCGGAACCTGGAAGAGCTACTGCTGAGATTAATCATTGCATTTTCCCTCACCCTCTCCACGGTTTCACATCATTTATGCCCCCCTCCTTCCTCCAAGAAGTTCAAAGCAGCATCCCTCCTTCCTCCAGTGCATCTTCACAACCCCCCTGCAAGGTAGGTCAGGCTGAAAGAGGGGGACTGAATCACCCCTCTCCCCTGAGCTTTATGGCTCGAGGAGGAATTTGAACCTGGGTTTGCAGACCCTCTTGGCCCAGCCTTTTCCTAATCTGTTGTCCTCTCCATGTGCTGGATGCCAGTTCCCATCATCCTCACCCAGCTTTTGCATTCAAAGCACGGGCTGCATCTCAGGGCAGTTTTGCTTCCACAGCTCTACCCTACAGAGGAAGGTGAGGCTGAGGGTCACTTACTGACACAATTCCCAGCATGCTGGTGGGGATCGATGGGGATTGGAGTCCACCACATCTGGGAGAGCCCCGAGTTGGGAAAGGAAGATCTTGTCTGAGACTTGAACCACTTTATAACCAGGAAGCCATAGGGAGGCCCAAACAAATTCGTGCAAATTGTACCACAAGATGCTGAATTGTTGACTAGAAGTGCAAAGATCAAGAAGGCTTTGCCAGAAGGAGGCCCGTTCCTTCCCTTTCTCTCCCGAGAGACTTCGCAGGGAAGAGAAAAGTGATTAATGTTCTGTTCCAAGGCTTCCAAGAAGCTTCCTGGGCTCAGTCCAACGGTGCACAAGGAATCTTTGCTGCACTTTCCACTCAAGGACCAATGAAAAGAGAGTGAAGGAAGGGAGAAAAGCAAGGACCTTCCAGACCATGAACCCCGGTGGAAGGATACCTGACCAGGAGATCAGAGAAAAACACAGCCGTTTCAGAGGTGATCCGACTCTGCAATAGCCCATGAATTCGCCAGCAGACCAGGATTTTTCTGGGGCTTGTGGATTCCGCAGGCTTCACACTGAGGCCTTTCACTGTTTGTGTTGGGGGAGTTTGCACTCTCGTCAGCACAAGAGCGCATTCACACGAAGGTGTATTAGTTATTGTGCAACAGCGCTGATCTATTAGCACCAATTAGTACAAGCAGAAAGACATTCTGGCAATCATAACAACAGTAATAGTACTCCGATAACATCAATGAGTGGATAATGGACAGAAAGATCTCTGACAGTTTGTGAATACAGATGGAATGGACTGGGTAACCCTGTACCCCTCTACCTGGGGGTGCCCACGTGTGAACGTGGAAAACTCAGGACGGAATGAACCCACAATTAACAGTTTCTTGCACCAGACGTTCTTTCAGCCCGAGGGCCAAATTCCATTTCAAAGAAGCGCTGAAGTTGAAGAGAGGAGAGGCAGAGCCAGAGTATCAAAAATATCAGCATAGTTTAGCACAACTTAAGCTCTTTTGCTTTTGCTTTTTCTGTGGGTCACTGAGCCTTAAGGAAGGATTTTCAACCTTTTGGAATGGGAGAAAAACTGCACTGAAGCAGCAGAACCACCAGATCACAACAGTCAAGGGAAGGGGGTGCAACCAGGGGGCAGGAGCACGGCCATTTGGGGAATCCCAGAATGTCAGCCTGGTACCAAACACCTGAAGTGCTGAGCCCCTTCTTCATGGGGAACTAGCATTCAGGGACATCCTGCCTCTGTATCAAGCAATTTACTTATTCCTCATAACAACAACCCTGCAAGGTAGGTTAGGCCGGGAGTCAGTGGACTGACCCAAGTTACCCAGTGAACTTCATGGCCGAGCGGGGAGTTGAACCGGTATTTCCCAGGTCCCGGTCCAAGTTGCTGTTTTGCACGGAGAAGGGACCAGCTCCGACTCCCAGCACTTCCAGGTCACACTGGAAAAGCGGCTGCCAGTCAGAGCAGGAACAGATCCGTGGAGGTATTTGGTAGAAGGGGAATTCCTGCGTTCCACAAAGTTGTCTCATTCTGTTGTAAAGCCAGCGTAGATGACACGTCTCTTTAGTTCATGTGGAACTGCAGTAGTTACAGTAAGTCCTTAAATCATGGCACAAAGGCCGTTTTTTAATACAGAGAGCAAAGCTTTTGAGGGACTACCACCTGCCACGCATTCTTGCCCACCTACCATGCTCAGGGGCTGTTGAGCATCTGGCAGAGTCTGTTTTGTTGTGGTATCCAAGCTGTGCACCTCCCTTGCCTGGCACATCCAGGAAACTGTTTCTCATGTAAGCATCAAGCAAGATGCTCAGGGCCTCCTTACTTCATCCAACTGGAGCAGGCGAAAGAGCCTTGGACCAGGACTAGGGAAAACCAAGTTTGAATTCCTGCTCAGCCATGATCACAGGCTGGTCTTGGGCCAGCCACTCTGTCTCAACCTCGCAAGGGTGTTGTGAGCCCAAAATGAGCAAGGGGGCCATTCAGATCCTCATGGGCTGCTTGGAGGGACCTCAGAGATGTAAATAAAAACTCTGCTCTTGGTTTTATTATCTGAAATTGATTCTAGCAATTTGGACCGCTTGTACTGTGTTAAATATTGTATTAATCTTTTAAAGCAGTTTTGCATTTTATTTGATGAAAAAGGTAATTAAACAAACACACTTGAGATTTAAAATGCTGTTTGTTTGTTTGTTTTCCTTTAAACTGGTTTAAGAAGGACATTTCGAAAACATAATACGGTTGAATGGGTGTACTAAGCGAAAGAAAACAGAGCTATTGATTTTCTTTGCCATACCTAGCAGCACAAACATTACTCAGTGAAACTCCTTGGCAGCCTCCTCTGGGCAGAGAAAGATTCTCAGGGCCCGTTGAAGAATTAAAAATGTGGCAGATACAAAAGCACTCAGACAAATTTAGAAGGAGCAACGGCATGCAAACATTTTGCCTGACGCTGCGGCTGTACTTACTGGCAATCGGAAAAAGTTGGCTTGTAATAAAATGGCGGAATTTTCGATTCGTACTTTGCTTTCGCGGCACTGTTTCCCATGGAAGCCATAAACTGCAAAGAAGGGAAAAAGACGTCTATTTTTTAAGGAGGAGGGTGGGGGAGAGAAAGAGAGAGAGGAGAACATGCCATCCGAATTCTTTCATTCTATAAAGCAGCAAGGATCATTCTCAGAAACTTCCCCTTTTCAGCAAGCTGACTGCTCTGTGGATTCAGAAATGCAGCTTTGTGGGGAATTGTCTTCCTCCTATTTAAGAGCTGCCAAAAAAAGCTGCTAAACATGGGAGAAACTTTCTCTGCATAGTTTTTTACTCAGTGGTCCACTTTTAAGATACTGTTATGCTCCCACAGTTTCTGCTGCAACAGGAGTGATTACCTGGTTTTGTACACAGAGTTCCCGATGCATAAGGAGGCAGGTAATGGGATGGTGTTGAAACCTAATTTATGAGGTTTTTCACACCTTAGGGTCCTCCCAGGGACTGCAGGAAACCCTGGATTCACCCTCCAGAGGCCTATAACTTCTGGACAGGGAATCCAACATTGGATCCTTGTGTTGGGAATGGAAGGGGCAGGGATTCTCGCTCTGTGTTCCCAGGTCAGGTAGCTATGAACTTGCCAGCTGATGAGGTTTTATTTATTTATTAAAAGTTTCTCTATCCTGTCCCCTACAGAAAAATTATTATTATTATTATTATTATTATTATTATTATTATTATTTTATGAGTGATGGTTGGCCAAGTCACCTCTGCCCTGCTCCATCACTCAGCTCTTCCCAGCTGAGCAAAGGATGGGCAGACCCCAAACGGAAAGGAATCCTTTCTCAGCAGACTTACATCCCACCTTCCTTCCAGCACGGAATCCCGGCCAGGTGCAGACCAGCCACATACCTGCTGGACAGCGGCCTCATTCCCCCGAGAATCAAACCCCCTTGCGACCCCGTGCGAGGTGCCGGGAGGCTTTGTTATGCCTCGTTAGGTCAAATCCTATCGTGAGATTTCTCCAGCAAAGTGGAGAACAGAGCAATGCCCTTTCATTGCACAGGGGAGACGGGAAAAGACAGCTGCTCTGCTAAAAGGGGTTTTTATTAGATCATTGTCCATTGAGGCTGGACTAAGAGCTGTCCGGCCATTCCACAGCTGCAGCTGCACCCAGAGAAAAGTTGTGGGAAGGAATGGGATAGAAAGCTCTCATCCCATGTCTGGGAATATCTATTTTTCTATCTCTTGGCCCTATTTTTACTCTGCTTTTCCACCAAAGAAATCCCCAACTGTGGCCCGCGAGGATAAATAACGAAACCTTCCCAGTCCTCAGGATTAGACAATAAGAGACACGACACAAAAGGAAAGGCGATGGGGAAGGAGGAGGAAAATCATCTAACGCCATACAGTGAAGAAGGCGGTAAGAAGGCCTGGCTAGTTGCAGTGGAATTGGGCAAGCTGCTATGGCTAGGGTGGCTGGGAAGGCCAAATAAGCCGAGCCCTCAGAAGAGGGGGGCCAATGAAGGACCACTGAGATAACCAATAACTAAGCACGCCCCCTTTCCAGAAAGGGGAGGGGTTTCACTGTTCGACCAATCAATTCGGGTTTCCCATCTCAAGGGGCAACCTCACCCGCTTTCCTCTGGCCATGCCTGCATTTTCCCAGCACCTAAGCTGCAAATATTTTGTCCTTGGGAAACCGCGTATTGTCATTAGCGACGACTGCGCCTCTCCCCATGCACTTGCCTATTTACAACCTTTTATAAAAGGCATCTTTGTTCTTCTTTTCCCCCATCTCAGGCAGCGGAAACACAAAGCCAAAACCATCTGGATGCAACTACAACACCTTTTCTGAGAGGCACTGATTTGGAAAGGAGCACGAGAGACTCCACTCTCCAAAGCCAACATCTGCTGTATGAATACAATCCAGTCTGTTGCCACGTTGTTTGTAAAACTTTCAATTTATACATTTTGTAACGTATAATTGTGAGAAAACAATTATGGTTGTTTATGTTGTATTCTAAGAGAGCTTTGGTTTCATTGAGTGGCACCACAATGAAATAAACAAATAATTTTCTTCCATTGCTGATATTCAGGCCTGTGTGCTTCTGCTGAAGCAGCCAGATTAGCAGGTTTGGGAGAGCAGAATGAATAAATGAAGGAATAAGCTAGGAAGGAGAGGAATTAAAATCCAAACAGCCCAATGAGAACTACGTAGGCCCAGGGATTATGGAAAGCTGCCTGGCTGTTATTTGGAATGGGGTGGAAAACCAGAGGAAGAACGAAGGCAATCGGGCCCGGCTGGAGTTCTGAGACACTGCAAAGGGCAGGAAGCAAAAACTTTAAATAAAGGAATAAATACATTCTGAAGCGTAATGCCAGGACCCAGGTCTGTTCTGGCATTCTCCGAATGCTGCCTGAGGTCAGAAGCACATCCTTTGGTGCTTGCGGAGAGCGCGCGGAGCACGTACCTCGACTTGCGTGGCGTCCCACTCATCCAAAAGGACTGATTTCACTTTGCTGATGTGCGGGATGTTGCGATGGCTCCCAGAACAAGTTAGGCAAAGAAACACTCCTAAAGTATGGGACGCCCAGTCTGGATCTGCGGGATGAAAGGAAGCCAATTTTTATTCACGATAGCAACAGTGCCAGTGTGGCCTGGTAGCGAGGGAAAGATGAGACAGTAGAGTGCAGTGGTGGGAACACCGTGCGGACGCCTGGTTTCCACTTGGCCAGAACTCACTGGCTTTGGGCCAGTTCCTGACTCTCACGGCAAACCACCTCACAGGGCTGTTGTGAGAGCAGATATGGCACCGTGCCTGGCCTGCGACTTGGGAGATTTGGGTTCTGGTTTCCACTCAGCCCTGAAGCTCGCTTGGTGACTTGGGGTCACGCACGGATCCTCCACCTAGCCTCCCTCACAGGGTCGTTGGGGGGAGGAAATGGAAAGGAGGGTCATGCGCACTGCCTTGGGCTTCTGGAAGAAAAGCAGGGCATAAAAGCAACACATATGAATGAATGAAAACTAAGCACAGATGCAGAAATGGTGGGCACTGAGGCCTGCTGGATCAGACTAAATAGCCATCTAGTCCAGCATTCACACGTTCTGGGTATTATGTGAGCCCTAACAGGGTTGCCCTTACAAAGGGAACCTCAAGGCAGCCACGGCAAGCGACAGATGCTCTTCTGAGAACCTCTTTGAACATTCAGAAATGTCCGTGCTGCCAAATGCTTCTGGCTGAGTCTTGACCAGAGCTAAATTTCCAAAGTGAGTGGTTTCCATCTGACTTCCAGTCCGGGTGAAGGTGCTAGTCATTCCCTTTAAAGCCTGGGGCCTGATACTTAAATGCTTCCCTCTGCACACATTATTCCACGCCCAAGGAGCCAACACCAAGAAGCCCCTGCTCCAAAGCCCGCCACGGGCAGGGTCGCAACAGGTGATTGTGCGGAGAAGGCCGTCTCGGCTGCGACAGCCAAGCCTGTGACTCCTCACCAGAGGTGATGCCCGGGGGCCCTTCCTTCACATCATCTGCATTCCGAGGATTTTTAGCCACCTTGGGCACTCCGGTGAAGGAAATAAATGTTTCAAATCTCCCCTCTGGTTCAAATGAAGGAAGGCAGGCCCAGAAAGGGAGTTTTGACCAAGGCAAGCTACAGCTGGGACTGATGTACACCAGGGGAGCTTCCATACTGTAAGAGCCAGAGTGGACCTCTGTGCATTAAAGAGGCAGCCCTATGCACACTGAGACGGGGGAAAGCCCTCCTCCTCCCCGTATGCTCCAGCCGAGGTGCTCCCATCCTTTCGAGGTGCTCCCATCGTCTGACGTGAGGCCATTGCTGACACGAGGAAATGCAGTTTCAGCGGTGGGACCGCAATGACTGAACACTCTCCCCAGACAGGTTTGGCTGGTGCCTACGTATTTATCTTCTCGGCGCCAGGTGAAATCTCCTTTTCCCCTCCCAAAGGACAAGTCTCTCTGCAATCGTTCTCGTTGCTGCTTTGTATTTATCATGCTGTTTTCATGTCCATTGTAATTTTATACGTCGTATTTTAGTTTTGTGAACCAGCAGAAATATTCTTTTAAAGGGGACAGGCATGCAGTGCATTTTATACTACACAAAACCACAACTTGGGAACACTGTACATGACCGAGCGCTTGTCACAACCACAATCTACAACATGCAAGGCCTTCCCCCAGGCCCCACCTCTGAGGAAGCCTGGGGCCACAGCAAGAGGAAGGGCCTTCTCGGTGGTAGCCACCCGCCTGTGGAAGGGTCTTCCATTGAGTAGCAGCCTGGCACCATCCTTCTGGTGCCAGGTTACAACAGCTCTCTGTGCTGCAGCAGCCACAGATACCTAGCGGCCGGCTGGATGAGACACCCATGACTTGGGCTTTTCAATACGGCTGTTACATCGAATATAAGTTTTAGCTATTACAGCTACTGGTTTTAGCTATATTAGTTATCAAATTCTCTATTATAGAGGAAAAAATCTGGTTGCTTTATTGAATCGTGTTCTGGTTTAGGGACCTTTGCAGACTTTGGCTATTGGGTTAAAGAAATACATAACGAAAAAAGAAAAGAAACCTAGAAAGCTTTAACCTCGGATATGCATCCTGCACCAACTCATCATGAATTCACTCAGCCGTGGTGGTTACACCAATCTTGCCCTGCTTGGCTCCCTCCAGATGTTTTGGTCTATGAATCCCATCCAAACATGGGGCTGATAGTCGGTGTTGTTCAAACGTCCGAAAGGCGCAGAGCCAGGCAAGGCTGGGTCACAGTTCTGGACCAACAAATCCAGTGACAAATTCAGCCTGCCTTTTCTGCACCCAAAAAGCTCTCTGAGTGCCAAGCAGTCCACCTCGAAGGGCTGTTGTGAGGAAAAATGGGGGGGGAACCAGGGGTGCTGCTTTGAGCTCCCCAGAGGAAAATCGGGCTCCAAATATTGGGAAGGGAAGAAGGAACAACCAAGATGCAAGAGCTTGAGAAGTAGCTGTGTCTCAACCAAGACTGGGGAGCCCTTTTATACCCCCTTCCCATCCTGGGCTGTCCAATGGCCAGCCGGGGTGGGTGGAGTCAAGGCCCGCGAGTCCCGGGGTGGGCGGAGCCAAGGCCCGCGAGTCGTCGGCCGCAGTGCAGTGACTCGCCACTTGAGGCAGCGGCTGCATTTCCAACCGCCCTGCATAATCTCTCCGCACTAAAAGGATGCCCCTTGAAAATACAACAGAGCGCCTCATTCCGCTTCCCAGAGTTCGAGAGCTTTTGTGTCCCTTTGCTGGCTCTTGTCACTTCGGCACACGGTTAATCAGCCGAACAGCGACGCGTCCCGCAAAGATCACCAAGCCACCACGAACAATTAGGCCTCCGGGCACCCGAACACGTGCGAGTTCAGGACCTCAATTTTCTAGCAACTGATTATAAAATGGAACCACGAGGCTCCAGCACGCCTGCTTAATGGGAAACCTCCACCTCTGCTCACAGAGCACAAGCGGCGCTCCGAACATGGAAGAAAATTAAACACGGCATAAAACATTATCTCTAGAAAGCCCTCGGAACAACCCCGCGTGGACGATATCACCGGTCAAGGCAATTAACTCGGAAGAACACGTGTCAGAGTCAGGTGAGTGCTTGAGTTTATGAAGTGTCCTCTCTGCAGGTCCTAATTCTTCCCAAATAACTGAAATTGCGACCCAAATCAGAGCCGTGTGGTTGTGATTTGGCGTGCCAGCAAGGCCAGGCTGCCTGAGGTGAAAGACGGAACGTGCTCGGGGTCGTGTGTGGGTTGTCAGGGGCAGCCCCACTGGGGGCCAATTGACACACATCTACACTCACTAGATGGCTCCCTCTTTTCCTTTTTTCACGATTTTTATGGACATTTAATCCTGCTCCAAGGATCTTTGGATGTGCAGAACCTGAAGTCTGGAGGCAAAGTCTGGATGTTGCAGGGATTAGTTCTGGGCCTCCAGGGATCCACAGAAGGTCGTGGCCCTTGGAGCTCAGGTGGGGTTAGGAAAGTCCACTCTGAAATGCAAAGGGAAGGAATCTCTCCCACCACCCGCATCTGCAACTTACTGCAAAATTAGCTTGAACTTTCTCAACTACCAAGAAGGGCAGCAACAAAAAGAAATGGAAAAGATCTTCTGGTATCAGGATGTTTCACTGGAGATCAAGGTCAAGATCATCCTCATTACTGTATTCTCCATCACTAAGCATGGCTGTGAAAGCCGGGCAGCAAAGAAAGCTGACAAGAAGAAAATCGATGCATTCCAAGCGTGGTGCTAGAGGAGAGCTTGGACTGACAGCAAGATGAACAGGTGGGTCCTCGATCAAATTGAGCCAGAGCTTTCCCTAGAAGGAGGAGGACAAAATGGAGGCTGCCCTACTTGGGTACATCCTGAGAAGGCTCCCTGGAGAAGGCAGTCATGTCAGGGAAAGTCATCGGCAGAAGAAGAAGGGGAGGGCAAGCAAGAGAGGGATGGACTCAGTCAAGGGATCCACAGCCTCGAACCCGGAACAACTGAGCAGGGCTGCTGAGGACGGGACTTGCTGGAGAAGGTGGAGATTTCTTGATGACACCCAACAACAACAAAAGTCACTCATCCTGTGCCAAATACTTCTCCCACTTTTTTACTGTTTTCATTCAATATGATAGAAAATAAATTGCACATCCCCTTTCCCCAATTAACATTGTTTGATAGTCCCCCAGATTTTGTACAGCTGCCCCGTTTCTAAAATGTTTAAACAACTCCCCTAAGGCGTAGTTGGAGCCATCCTGTGCGAAGGAGAGGGCAAAGCCACTACCTACGTGGCACGGTGCCAGTGAGGCTTACACACACCAGTGTATAAAAGAGATTTGCACAACACCAAGCTATGATTACTGTCACACGCTCTTCTGTAAAATTTGGGGTGCCCCAAACATGCTGCAAATGCAGAAGCAGATGCCTCAAATGGCCAAGTGGCTGGCACAAGCCCCCCGTGAGGAAAGCAGGCATTCTTCAGCTTGGAAAAAATGGTGAAAAGGTGAAATTATCTAGATGTTTTCTTCCTCTCTCATCACACCTCTATACTCCTCACTAGTCAGACCTCACCTGGAATACTGTGTCCAGTTCTGGGCAGCAAGATTTAAGAAAGATGCCGGAAAATTAGAAAGGTTCCAGAGGAGGGCAACGAAAATGATCCAGGGTTTGGAGACACTGCCCTGTGTGGAGAGACTGAGAGAACTGGGCATGTTCAGCCTTGAGAAGAGAAGACTGAGGAAGGACATATCTCCCTCAATAAGCACCTGTCACAAAAAGGAAGGTCAAGATCTCTTCTTGTTGATGCCAGAGCGTGGGACATGGAATAATCAAGTCAAGTTGCGACCACCCAGATCCAGGCTGGACATCAGGAAGAGCTTCCTCACTGTCAGAGCAAAACGGCAGTGGGACCAGCTGCCCAGAGAGGCGGTGGGCTCTCCCACACTGGAGGCATTCAAGGAGAAACTGGGCAGCCCTCTGAGTGGGATGGTGTGACGTAGTGTCCTGCAACAGCAGGGGGCTGGACTTGATGGCCTTCATGGCCCCTTCCAGCTCTACTACTCTACGATTCTATGATTCTATCCCAGTGGGAAGGCCTTCTTGGCACAGGGCAGAGTGCCCACCAGGTGCTGAAGAACTGAGGGGAGATGCTGCTGGATTTCTCTCCTGCTTGCGCATGTCTGGGTGCTTCGTGCTGGCCACCACTTGAGCAGAATGGAAGGACATTTGGTCTAAGCCAGCAGGAATCCTCACGTTCTTACACTGATACCTCCCTTTCATTTCCCAGTGGCCTTGTCTCATTTCGCAATTATTGGCACTCATCTTTCGAGAGGGAGGATGTGAAAGAAGCCTTTGGGAGCTTCTCGCCCCTAGTTTGCAGAAGATGCTCAAAAGGGCTGGGTCACACTCTGTCACCCACAAGTCCCTGTGTTTTTGCAGCCAATCGAGAATCTCCGTGAAATGCCAAACATTCCTTCTTGCCACAAAACAGTTTAGGAACAAACACATCCCCAGGCGCCCCTGTTAAAAATCACCAGCGAGGCATTTCAGAAATTAACTATGTGAATACATTAGCTTGAAACGGTGAATGGAGGCCATCAAGCCTGCAGCATCACGTGAGGGCCAAGCCCTTCTGAGGATCACACACAGAAATGCGTGCAAAGCATCGCTCCTTCGGGCACAAATACAGTGTCAAGATGACTCCAAAGTGCTTGGGAGGAGAAAATTTACAAATAAATCAGAAAAATCTGAAGAGCAACTTGAGGCCATGGCACTCTGGCATTGCCCTTTTAGTGTCAGGATTCCAGGATAAAGTCATTTCCAGTGCTGTCTGGAAAAGCTGAAGATTACACCGGGACGTTTGCCAAGCAAACGCTACGCTCTACCAATAAGTCACAGTCCTTCCCCTAAAAAATAAAGTAAGCTTCTAGTGTTCATGGTTCCGAATAAAGTACTGATTAAAATACCTGTATTCTAGCCCTACCTGTAAATGCCAGGGACAGAAGCACCTGTATACAAACAGGGTGTTGCCCCCTTCCCTAAAGGAGCAAATCTGTGTGATGTTATTTTATTTAACCGGGGATTGTCTTTTCTGCCTTTAAATATTCCACCATGAAGCTGGCAGCAAATTGTAAAAGGTAACCCCAGGAATGGCTCTAGCAGAGAGCGCTGCGCGGATCAGTTCCTAGCTGGACTTGTTTAAAGCAAAAAAGTTGAGGCAAAGTCCAACCCCCAGCGGTAATCAGAGGTCACTGCCAACAAAGGGCGCGGAATAGTCCTTATTCTGTGCGCGTAACTCTCGTGCGGGAACTCTGGGCCTCTGGAGAGCCGAGGGCTCCGCCTGGTTTCCGTATGAAAGGCAAGGCTCAGCCAGGCTCAGACCCTGCCCTGACACCCCCCGTTCGAAGGGGTCACCGCCCAAGGCTAGGCTAACCTCGCCCAGCCCGGGGTGTTCCAGTACAACTCCCATTGCTTGTGTGCCATGCCGTCTGGGGAGAATGGGAGCTGTAGTCCAGGGCATCAGGTGGGAGGAGGCTGGGGCAGACCATGTTTGGCTCCAGGTCCACCTCTCTCTGTCTCTCTCTCTCTCTCTCTCTCTCTCTCCACATTTTTCTCTTCCTCTCTCTCCATTGGTCCTGGCCAGATCTCTCGGCTCCCTGTCTGCCGATTCCACCAATTTCAGCAGGGATATCCGTTAGCAGGATCGAATCTGCACTGCAGTTCACATCAGACAAGCCCCAAAATAGCATTACATCACCGCCGACAAAAGAGAGAGAGAGAGAGAGAGAGAGAGAGAGAGAGAGAGAAGAATGGAGAGGCACCTGATCTGGAGAAGGAGGGATTCCGACCTTTCCCAATGGCAGAAAGGTTGCCAACGTTTTCATTTCCTTTTTTAAGCACACCTGTGCTTCTTAGACACCTACTTGCCGGGCAGACCGGGGCAGGGGGGACAGCCGCCTCTCGATTTCGCAGATCCAAGGGGCGGACAATAGGCACGGGAAAGGGAAAGGCAGGAGAGCCGCCGGTTGCTCTCCCCCGAGAAGTTGGCAACCCGCACTCACGTCCATCTCCTCTGGAGGACAAATGGACGCCGTGTCTCCTTCCACACAGTGAAGATAAGCCATGTCTCAGGGGGCACCGAAAAAGAGACTTTTCCCAGCCCAATCCTCCCATGCGGGAATTCTCGGAGCAACAGTGACGTTCCCCCATTCAAAAATTCTCCTCGCCTCTTTCCCTCCTGATTGACACAATGCGGGGTGACTCCCCTGCTCCCGAGACCCTTGGGGGTGCCTTACAGGAGTGAGGGCCCCCTTTTCCCCTGGGAAATTTTTGGATGCGCATTTTGGGGTCAGACAGCAGCCACCAAGCAGCAGACCAGCGCCAAACGAAGCCCCGGCTCCTTCTGCACGCAGCGGGTTCCGCTTTCTTTTTCTTTCAGCGGCCTTCCCGCAACCCCAGCGCCCTTCCGATATTTCCTTTCCCCACTTCCATCAGCCCCAGCAAGCCAGACTAATGGTCAGGGTGATGGGACTTCTAGTCCAAGAGAGCCAGAGACAGGGAGGAAAGCTGGACTTTGACGGTCATTTACAAGAGCCGAGCAGGGAAGAAGAGGGAGGTGGAGAAACTGTGACAGGAAAGTCCGGCGGGGGGGGAGGAAAGATGGGGGGGTCTTCCGCCCCACCCCCCACCCTCCTTTCGCAACCCCGTTTAGAGCCGCAGCGGCAAACACCGATCCACGCCCTTTCACACACGCTCCG